ACAATAGGGACAAACAAATAACTGAATTTACAATCATTAGGCCCAACACTATCAACTCAACAAAGAGTCTCACAATAGAAAGAAATAAATAACTAAACAAACTTCACAACGAGAAATAAATTGTCAATTGATTTAATTCTTGCCTTGACATGTCAATTAAGAGTGTACAAGAATGGCTAAAAGAATAGAATAAAACAATTTTTAAATTTAAAAAATACAAAAAAATTTACATGATTTAAGTAGGAGACACTACTACAGTTTTGTTAGGCATAAATAATATACAATCTTTATAAATAGAAATAGTAGTATAATTATTAAAACTTTAGGATGGGCACTGGTCCCGTCCTAAAGTGACTCCATCCTTGCTTATGTTATGTGGTGCTACAATGAGGTAACGAAATTTTTTATGCATGTGACATTGTGATTCATTTTTGTTAAATTGTTTGAAAGATAAAAAATAATTTAACTTAATTTGTGTTACAATTTCTTATTTTTTTATCAAAATATCGTAGAAAATGTCATATCACATGTTAATCCGAAAATACCCAATAATTTTTTATTTTGAGAGTGCAAACGAGAGAGAGATTGAGTTTACATATAAAACAACTATAACCACACCAAGACGATGCCGATTCAGCCCAATGAAACTGAGAGAACAAAGGTCCTCCACTAAAAGGGCCGCCCAATAAAGATTAACTAGTTTCGCCCAAATAAATAAAGGAAAAGTCTGGGATCCTACATTTATCCACCTAGAATTTTTTGGGTGGGTAGTTGTGTAGTGGAATGGAGTATAAGGTTACTCTAAAAATAAATTTGACCCATAAGATAATAATTTTTGAGTAATTAAATATGAATTTGTAATATTATTCATAAATAAATGGACTTGTGCATAGATTTAATTTTTTTCTTTATATTTAATTCAGAACGATTACACTAATAGTCCTTATAGTTTGAAAGTTGTATCACTTTAATTCTTGACTTTTCAATTATGATACATTTGACCTTGAATTTTGAATCTTATTCCAAACAAGAACAATCAAAGATATTTCATTTGCAAACGGTCTATTTCAAGGGCAAAATCATCATACAACTTATCTTGTGTTGATTAATTTATATGTTGTTTTAAATGTAATGACCTTTTTATTATTTAATGAATAATACTAGAACTTTCTTGGTTATAAAATTCTGTTTGGTTTGATTTTTAGAATTTTTAGAAATTTTTTCTAAAAAACTAAAACTTAAATTGGTGAAAAAAAATAAATTAAAAACACAACATTTTTATAATTTTATTTTTTGGGAGGGTCAAAATAATTTTTTAATATTTCTTTTTTGTTAAATTAATTTCTATTTTTTCAAAAATCAAACATGACGACAACTTCGATGTCATTATTAAACCAATCCAACAAATTAAAAAAATCCAAAACTAAAATTTTTTTATATATTAAACATATCAATTACACATTAATAACCATCAATTACATGATAACAATTAAAAAAAAAAAATTATATCTCTTACCAACAAATACAATCATTTATTGTATGATAGCCATCTAAAAAATCAACAAAACAACATATAATCATTATCTAAATATATACTAAAAATTAATTTAGTAAAAAAATTAAAAGGTAAAAGATTTATCATTTTTATATAATTTTATTTTTGGTGGATATAAATAATTTTTAAAAATTCAAAAATAATTTTTTGACATTTATTTTTATCAAAGTAGTTTATATTTTATCAAATTGACGACTTTGGAGCAATGGTGTCTTCAATTGTCTTTGTTTGAAACGAGATTCAAAAATTCAGGTTCAAATGTATTATAATTGAAAGGTTAGTGACTAAAGTGACATAAGTCCCAAATTACAGAGACCGTTAGTGTAATTCGTCCTTTAATTTATCTTATTTTATTTATGTTAAATCAATTTAATATGTCTTCACATGACTTAGTTATACTCAAAAATAAATTAAATGACAAATTACACTGATAGTCCCTACATTTTGTCTTTTATGTTATTTTGGTCCTTACACTTTTAACTGGTTCAATTTTAATCTTTAATTTTAGATTTGGTGTCAATTTAGTCAAATTGATAATGCATTAGTATTTTTGATAGAAAATTATTACTGAATTAGTTAAGAGTTAACTCACTGTGTTGTCTAAATTTATAATTTTATCTTTAAAAATGTAATACATGCCCCTATTTTTCATATAAAAAAAATGATTAATTAGACTAAATTGAGATAAAGTTATAAATTCAGGATTAAAATCGAGTCAATTAGAATTAGAATAACCAAAATGATACAAGGACCAAAGTATAGGGATTGTGTCGGAATTTGTCCTAAATTAAATTTCAATTATAATGGTATTGATGTAATTTTCATAGAAGTCAATTGGTCAAATGTGTGGGTCATTCTATTTACAAACCACTTTCCCTCTCAAGGCAAACTATTAATTAATTTATTTTTTATTACAATTTTAACCTTAAGTGAAATGACTATGAAAGACAAGTTATGATACACTCCATTTGTATATTTACTGTAAAGGACAAGAATCAATATAATATAAATTAACAATTTCAAACTTGTTCCTTACGTTGTCAAGAATCCAAAAACCCTAAAACCAAAATCAAAAACCTTTCAACAAATAATCAAAAATATAGTATGATTGAACATTTTGATTGGATTCAATGAAGGATGCATCTGACAATTCTCATTCGGAACAATGGAGCAATGAAAAGGTTATTTTTTGTTGTTGTTTTCGTCTTCGTTTTCGTTTATGAGTGGTAAATCGTTGTTCGGTTAACCAGAGGTGAATGATATATCATTGTTCGACAAATTACAATCGAACAAATTACATCTGTTCAACAGACTACAATCAAACAATTTATATCTGTTCAAGAGACTACAATCGAACAAATTACATTTGTTCAACAGATTACAATCGAACAACTTACATCTGTCCAACAGACTACAATCTAACAAGTGCAATTTGTTCGGATTACTACGGTTGAACTTTTTTATTTAATTCAACTCTGTACTGCCGAACAGTTATAATTTTTTTTTTCCAGAACTGTGTTGAGCAACACTACCGACGACATCTTGATGAGTGTTTTCAGCAATGGTGTTCACCGGTGTGAATAGAGAATGGAGGGGGAGATGAATATCGTGGGTGTAGGGTGTGTGGCTGTGTGGGGGCAAAGATGGAACTTTGTGTGTATATTGTTGTGGGTGGGTGTGTGAGTAAGGGTAAATATATAAATTTGTGGTGTGTGATGAAAAAAATATTTATTTTTGCAAATTATTTTGGTGTGTTTTTAGAAGTGGTTTGTCTTGAGAGAGAAAGTGGTGTGTAAATAGAGCCTCCCCAAATATGTAGGCATAAATTAGCAAGGGTAAATTACACTGACACCCCTTGATTTATGTTTAATACAAATCTCCTTTCAAGTTTGAAAAATTATATTCTCCTCCATGAGATTTTTAAATGACTATTTTGCCAGGGTAAGTGACTAAATTAGCAAGGGTAAATTGTCCCATGGATTGTTGATGTCATGTTTTAAAATTTTTTAAATGACTTTTTTGCTATTTTTCTTACCATTTCTTTTTCATATCATCATGATTACATTCTATAATTTTTCATTATTAAATTCTATCCAAACATGTTCTTATTGAGTAATGATATATAAACATAAATTTTATATAAAATTTTCAAACACAATGATATAACTTAACGGTGAACTTTCACTTTAAAACAAAACACATATAAACGTTATTTATATTTACAATATCATCACTATCATAACATTTTTATGATATTTTTGGTATAAATTTTTATATATGAATAGAATTTTTCATTTTTATTTCCATCATCATTTTTCTTTCTCATCTATTCATCTACATTTATTATAGTATTTCCAAACACCGTCATTCACATTTATTACAGTATTAATGAATTTTTGTATTTGGTGAATTTAAAAAAAAATCATAAAATATTATATTTCTTAAGTATATCTAGATTAAGTGTATCTAAAAAATAAAAAATTATTTAAAATATTAAAAAAATTCAATAAAAAAAACTAGAAAAATAAAAAAAATTTAATTTTTTGTGTGAGTTAAATAAAAAAAGATGATTATTATTTCTCTTGAAATTACATGAATAAGTATCAATAGTATTTTATTATTTTATTTGTATAAAGATTAAGGGATACATATGTCAGTTTCATCTGACAAGAAATAAGTGTAATTTTTTAAATATGAATAGGAATTTGTATTAAGCAAAAATTTCAGAGGTGCAAGTGTAATTTACGCAATCAGCAATGTTACTACTATATTGTTGGAGGGCACAATATCTTTTGTCTCAAATTCTTTATTTTTTTATTCCAAATTACTCATCTCGGTTAAATAATGTCTTGATATTCTCATCCTTCAAACTTATGATATGATCCAATCATATAACTACTTTATCACATGATCTACCCAGATGTGTTCTGGGACTAGCCACAAAAAAAAAAAAAAAAAAGGAAAAAAATGGAATTTCTGTTACACCTAAGCGGTTGAGATGCTCTTAATGTTGCAAAATAATTTTTCATGTACTTGCAAAATAATTTTTCATGTACTTGAAACCCACTCTGCTTTTACTATCTTTGATCTCAAAGATTACATTTTGAATGACTAATCACCCCTAGGATTTAATCCATGATGCAAATTATATATATATATATACATAGTAATAAAGTCACTTCTATTGCAAATTGATCAATTAGGTTGTTTATGAAATGCTTTAACTTTGCAGAGATAAAAACCAAAACATGGAGTGCACAAATGGAGAAACTCACAAAGAGAGAGATAGAGGTAAACTATCATATTCAAATTCAAATTCAAAAGAACAACAACAAAGAGAAATGGCTATGGTGGTATGGATACATCAAACCAAAAGCCAGACAATTAACAGAACAAAAACTCTAACATGGAGAGGAAATCAATATCCATCTCCATCTTATTAATCATGCATAAGTATTTGGTAAAGTTGCCATATGAAAAAGCTGCTTTTTTTTAAGCAACTTTAATTAGGGGAACCAGCAACACAAACCCACTGACCCACAAAGAGCTCTTCGCAGTTGACATTGGGATTGATGGAAAGGAAGAAATCAGTAGTCAATTGGGAAGCCTTAGCAATGGATATGCATGTATCTCCGCTCTCCACTCCTACTACTGTTTCACAACTTGCTGCACACTCCGCCTTTTTTATCACAACTGTTGTATTTCAATGCCCAAAAAATAAAACATAAAATAAAAAAATTGTTAATAGAGGATTAAACTTGTAAATCTAATGGCTCAGTCAGTTTTTAATCAATTTAACCACAGGAAAAAAAAAAAAAAATACATTGTTGAACTCTCTAGTTTTGGTCTTTGTTTTTTCAGTTTAAATAATTTGAAATTTATATGATGGTAATGTGGTCCTTTTGTTTACCATAAAAATTTTGAATAGAAAAAGGCTATGTGCAACTCATGTGAGATTTTTAACAATTTTTACACAAGAAAAATAAATAAATTATATGAATGGTCCCTATAGCTTTTTTCAAATTCCACTTTGGTCCTAAATTTGCATGTGTTGCTTTTCTATCTAAAATGTTAACGACACATAACAGTGCGGTAACATTGTAAAAAAAATTAAAAGTGTAATATTCCAATTGTTCAAATTGAAACTATAAAGACTAAAATAATATTTCAATTAGACTATGACGACTAATGATGTAATTTATCCTAAAAAATAATGACAATTTCAAAAATAAATATTATTGTCAAAAAAAGAAAAAAAAGTATTTTGAAAACAATAGATGAAGTAGTAAAATTTTAAAATTCATTATGGCAATTCCCATCACTCATCCCTATGAAGCACGGGTATAGATATGAGTACTCATACGATACGAGTACATCGGTACCGTAAAATCTAAAAAAATTAAGATACGGGTACAGCTTGGTACGTTTGTAAAAAAATATTTACTTTTAATTTAGAGTAATGCAAAAATTGTTAAGTGATTTAATTTGTTAAGATCCAACCTGCAATTAACATTTAATTCCAAAATTAAAGGAGTAAGTCAAAATTAAATGTTAATATATTAAATAACTTACAAATTATAGCTTAATTTTAAAATTGTGCTAACCATAAAACTAAAAATAAAAAAGAAGTCTAGTGAAATGAATTTTATATTTGTAGTAGAAGAAAATATTGTTTTGCCTGAGATACGGTATGGCTTGGGTATATACTAGGCACGTTTAGGTACGCCAAATATTAGAAGAAAAAATTTGAATACGTGTTTTGTGTCCCTGGTGCATATGCAGAAATACTATATGAAGTACCATATGCCGGTAAGTACCCAGTACAGGTACGACATATTTTTCGAAATATCATGCTTCATAACTCATCCCAATAGAGCTCTACCAAATTAATATACTAGCCAGACAGAATTAAAAAATAAAAATGTGTACAAAAAAATATAACATGTTGATGACGTTTATTTTGAGTGTGATGTTACTCATTTAAAATAAATCCCAACCATCCAATAATATGTTTTTTTTGTGCATATTTTATGTTTTAATTCCATGCACACAACACTGTTGATAGCTCCACCCTTGCATTTAGTTATAAGTGTGTGTTAGAAGATACAGAACTTACCACCAAGAAGAAGAGAGAGTATCAAAACCATGTTTAGAAACATAATGGTTGTTTTGTTGCTTGTCTTTGCCATGTTTCTTCTTCTGTATATATGTTCTTCTTCTTACTCACAAAATTGAAATAAGCCTTTTCTCTCTTCTGGGTTGTGGCTTTCTCAAATCCCTTCTATTTATAGTAAATGTTGTATGAGTGAGTTCAACACTAAAGCCGAATAGCATTGTTGCCGCAGATTTTGATACAGGCCGGCTTCTAAAAATAAAAAAATTTAAGGGGAAAAAAAGAAAAGAAAAGAGAAATAAAGTCCAAAGCCAAGCATTAACCTGAGATGGGTATCAAATCTTCCTAATTTATCCAAGGAGAAAGATTGTTTCCAAATGAATTTATGGATTGGGCAATCCACTTAAATTCTTGGGGTCTACCGTAAGTCCTTATTTTAATGATCTAATTTGTTCATTTTATAAATTTGGAGTACTTGCATGCTGGTCCTATTGACCAGGCTTATGTACCTATAAATCTTCTTCTTCTTCTTCTTCCACTTATCAATATCTCTAAAATACCCTTCATTCACCTTTTTTGTCCCGATTAGAAACAATATTATGACTCCTTCCCTAGCCAATGAACACCTCTAGCTGCTGCCGACAACCATCTCTAGTTGTCGGCAACCACATCCTATGCAAATTTTTGGTGACACATCTTTGGCCATTTTTCAACAAAAATAACGTTTATCACCACCACCTCCACCACTCAATCTCTCATTCTTACACACTCTCTCACGTTTACATAACACACTAACTCACTTACTGTCAATTATTTATTTATCCACTTACAAAAACACAACCACACAGACAGACAGAGGAAGTAACAGAGACTGGTACAACAAATTTATCCAAAACACATTCAGTGATAAATTTATCACTGAAAAAATTATTAACAAAATCACTGGTAATTTATCAGCAATAAAATTATCACTAACTGATTAGTAAGAAAATTCAAATGACAAATTTGATTCATTCACTCTTGCTCAGTCACTTACAAGAATTTACCCTCCTCTTTCACACACACAAAGAACAATAAAAACTTATAAATTTATCATTGAAAAAAAAATCTGAATATGAATCTAGTTTGCAACAGATCTGGTTTAAGAAAGAGATCTGAAGAATCATAATTGTTTAGAGTTATTTAGTGTCAATTTCACCGTTAGAATAACTAAATTGGTGTAGATCTAGATGTGGTCGCCGGAAAATGGTGACTAATGAGGACAATTGATGATAGAGAATGGTGGCAGTAATAAAAGAGACGGTAGTGATGTAGTCGTTGCATAGATCGGTGACAGTAAAGTGTAGATCGGCGACGGGGGAGTGTAAATCTGCAACGATAGTGGTAGATCTATGATGGTGTAGGTGATTAGTGAACAATGGCAGTGGTGTGTAGTTCGGTGATAGTAGAGATAGTTGGCAAACAGTGGTGGCTTCCAAACAACGATGATGATGTGTAGATCGGCGATAGTGGAGATAGTTAGTGAACGGTGGTGGCTTCCACACGACAATGACGGTGGTGGTGGTAGATGACGACGACGACAGTGGTGGCGGGGTGAATGACAGTAGTGGCGGTGGTAGCAAGTGAATGGTGACAGGGGCGATGGACAGTGGTGGTGTGAAACTTTTGAAAAAATGATGGAGAGAGAAAGAGAAAGAGAAAGAGAAAGAGAAGAGAAGATGAAAAAACTTGATAGATAATAATTAAATGAGGACAATGTAACTATTCTATTGCATTCAAAAAGTCATAAGGACTTAATGGTATTTAAGTCTACTTAATGAGACTAGTTGATAATTAACCCTATAAATTTTTGTGTAAATCATATGTATAAAAAAATCAAATTAATCTGTTACTTAAACGGACATTATTTTGTTATATTTGTTTTACAAAAATTAGACGGTCTATTTGTAAATTATACTACAATTTGTTTTTTTTGAAGAAAAATTTAATAATAATGTGGATATAATTATTGGATCAATTATTATTTTTAGACAGGACTTGTGTTGAGTCACATGAGCCCAAATGAATTGTTTAGTCCACGAAAATAATTTATCTCCCTTTTCTAAAACTTTCAAAATACTTTTGAATGAACAAAATATATAGGGATTATAATACAATTTTGATCAATCTACTATTATTTTTTTTTGAAACAGATCAATCTACTATTAGACCAAGTTAAATTGTCACTCATAATTAGTATTCGATACCTCATGAGCAGGTATCTTAATCAAGTATATAAGTCGTTATCTTCAGGGCTAGAACTATAAAATTACTAACTTCGCAAAATTATATTCAGCCTAATAGTTGATTCTTGATACAAACATTTAGATAACACTCATTTTAGAAAATTAGACTGTTAGGAGAGGTTGTTCAAAAATACCTATATTCATATGGTTAAATATATTATTATTAAAGAATGTGGAATGTACCAAATTACGAAATTGTAACATTCGCATAAACTCAATAATTCAGAGTAGTTTATTTGGCTTTGTACATCAAGTCACATCGTGCAATAGAGTTATTGGTAAAAACACAAAAGAAAAGGAGGATAAAAACGAGGAATAATGAAAACAAAAGAGTCATTAATATAATATAATATAATTTCAGAGTGAGGGCGTGACCCCCATAGTCCCCGCCACACTGTAACCCCATTTCACCATATAATTAGTTACCACTAATCTGCAATTTGATTTTAATAGGGTAAATTACATTAACACCCCCCTCAACTCTTTATTTAATACTGATTTCTTCTTCACATCTAAAAAATTATTTTATTCTCCTTAAGATTTATAATCTCATTAAAAATTATTCTTGAATTGCTAACGTCATATCATAATATTTTCTAAAGGGTAAATTACACTGACACCCCCTTGAGATTTCTGTTTAATATAGATTCGTCCTCTCACATTTGAAAAATTACACTTACTCTCTGTCAGATTAAAATGACATATTTGTCCATTAGTCCTCATACATATATAATAATAAAATAATACAGATATTTTGTTCATGTCTTTTCAAGGGAAAATAACAACCATCCTCTATGGTTTAACTCACACAAAAAAATTGAATTGTTTTATTTTTCGTGTTTTTTATTTTTATAGATTTTTTAAAAATATTTTACCCAATTTTTTATTTTTATTTTTTAGATACACCTAATCTAGATATAATTAAGTGAGGACAATATTTCTTAATTATATCTAGATTAGGTGTATCTAAAAAATAAAAATAAAAAATTACGTAAAATATTTTTAAAAAATCTATAAAAATAAAAAACACAAAAAATAAAAAAATTCAATTTTTTTTGAAGTTTTTTTTTTTAAAAAAATAAAAAAATTCATAATATTTTGTAATTTTTTTTTAAGTTCACCAGATACAAAAAATATAAAAATCAATACATTATCTTATTTTGTTGTATTCAATGATTTTTTTAAAAAAAAATTTATACAAATTTTATACTTTTTAAATATATCTAGATTAAATTGATCTAATCTACTGATGATGGTGGAAATAAAAATAAAAATTTTATTCATATATAAAAATTTATACAAAAAATATCATAAAAATGTTGTGATAGTAATATTGTTGTAAATATAAATCATATTTTTAGGTATCTATATATTATATAAGGGAAATGGGGTTTCTAACCCACAAACCTTGTGCGAGCTCCAAGTTCCTAATTTAAGTTTCATACTTTCTTGATTGGGTAAATTACAAATACATCCACCGACGTTTGATTAAAATATGAATCGTCCCCTGTGGTTCTGAAAATTACATTTCACCCCCTGAGATTTCTAATTTCATAACAAATCGTCTATTTTATTAATAAATTATCAAGTCAATTAACAGTTTTTAATGATGTTAGAAATATGTTTCAATTAATAATTTAAGTAATTTTATTATTGTATAGGAAAACAATTATGAATTTCATTTTTTCAGTTAATTCTGTTAAATAAAAAATTATGACAAGGGATATTCGTAATTTTTCAAATTATAGGTAGCAATTTGTATTTGAAGGAAACCTCAGGGGGTGTATTTGTAATTTACCCATATACTAATCTATTTCAAAATTCAAATTTGAGGGTCGCTAAATATGAAAAGTAATCTATTAATTTAAATTTAAAATTGACACAATATAAATTTAAAATTATAATGATCTATCCCATGATATATGAGTTTTAAATACAAATTTAAAATTATTATAATTAGCTCATAATTTTTGTATTTAGGAGCAATAAGAGTGACGTTGAGATTATTTATATATTTTACGAAAAAAATACTTTTAAGAAGAGATATTATGCGAGTTTCAAAATCGCATACAAAATCTATATGTTATTATAATTGAAAAATGTTATCATCTTATTAAAGTTTAGAGTTGTAATTCTTTTTTTTTTATTTTGTTTAATTTTTGTTAATATGTGCCACAATATGATTGGTTTATAAATTAATTTTATATTCTTAAAATAAAATTTTAAATTTGGATTCTTTCTTAAATTATGTTACCAGAATAAGATCAATATTCATTCCTTAATTTATGTATCTTTTATTAAATTATAAAATAAAATTTTAACTTTAAATTCTTTTTAAATTATGTTACTACAATTAGAATGAGATGAATATTCACGTGTGTCATAGTGATATGTCATAATATTATTAGTCTAAACATAACATGTTATTAAATACATGTATTCAAATTATTAATCACTATTATAGAAAGGGTAAATTACAAAAACACCCCCTGAGGTTTGCTTAAAGAATAAATTGCCCCTTGTGGTTTGAAAAATTACAAATACCTTATAGTTAGTATTTTTTATTTAACAGAATTAACTAAAAAAATGAGATTCATAACTGCTTTCTTATACAATAATAAAATTACCTAAATTATTAATTGAAACATATTTCTAACATCATTAAAAATTTTTAATTGACTTGATGATTTATTAATAAAATGGGCGATTTGTTATGAAATTAGAAACCTCATGGGTGAAATGTAATTTCTAAAACCACATGGGACAATTCATATTTTTATCAAACTTCAGGGGGCGTATTTGTAATTTGTCCTAAAAGTTTATACTTTTATTTTTTGTCATTTTTGGTTTGAAAT